GTGATATTTAACACTTGTTGAAATTCTGTGTGAATTTACAAGTTGAAGTTAAACCGAGATGATGTTTAACACTTGTTGAAAATTCTGTGTGAATTTACAAGTTGAAGTTAAACAGATGTGATATCTAAACACTTGTTGAAATTCTGTGTGAATTTACAAGTTGAAGTTAAACCGAGATGATGTTTAACACTTGTTGAAATTCTGTGTGAATTTACAAGTTGAAGTTAAACCGATGTGATATTTAACACTTGTTGAAATTTTGTGTGAATTTACAAGTTATAATTAAGCCGAGATTGTGATAAAGGAAGATGGTTTAACACTTGTTGAAATTTTGAGAAAAATTTACAAGCTGAAGTTAAGCTGAGGTTATGATAAAGGAAGATGGTTTAACACTTGTTGAAATTTTGAGAAAAATTTACAAGCTGAAGTTAAGCCGATGTTATGATAAAGGATGATGGTTAAACACTTGTTAAAGTTTTTGAGAAAAATTTACAAGTTAGATTCAAGTTCAAGCAATGTCTGCGTACTTGCTGAGACTACCAGGTTGTCAAAACTTGAAATATGGAAAACTGAAGTCTTGATAGAAGACATTGAGAAAGTGACAAGTCCTAAGCAACACTTGTGAAAATATTGTTAAGGCCGAGATGAGCAAGATTAGAAGTTATGAGAGAGGTATTTTACCCGAAGAGATTGCACAGTCAAGGTGTACTTTGAAGACATGCAAATTATTCTAAGTATAGAATCATACAAGAGTTGAAAAAAGAAGACATACATTCAAAGAAGAAATCAGAGAAATGCATTTAAAGAAGAAAGAAGGCACTTCGGCCTGAATATTGAAAAATAAATTATTCAGACTACAAAAATGGCACGTCGGCCAGATTAAAAGCATACAAAGACGGACAAAGTACAAGGTACAAGGTACAAGGAGTAAAAGAAGGAAACAAAACTACTCGGCATCAATGGCAGGATATAGAAGATAGTTGGGAAGACTTCTCAGCAGCCTTCTCGGCCTCGAGCTTAGCATCGATCTCTCAAAGAGTTTGATTAAGGCTCTTCTCGGCGATTGGCATCTCGGAGTTTGAAGGCAAGGATTGAAAGCAAGAATCTGAAAAAAGACACAGAAAACAGAAACAAGAATGTAATTCGCAATTAAGAATGGTGATGAAGCTATCAGGAAATCAAGACAGAAAGATTGCACAAGTTTGTCAAGCCAAGAACAGTGGCAGAAATCAACAGATGTGTGAACAGTGTGTATTCAAGAAGATGATTTGGAAACAACGGGTAAAACAGCAATGGTGATTAACAATGAAGCAGAGCTTCTTGGAAAGCAACAAGAAATAAAACCAGGAGGAACAGTGGCTTACCAGAAAGAGGGAAGCCGGAATGAGAATTGCCGAAGTCTGACGACAATGACAGAATGGCGTAAGCTTCACCGGAGGAGAGGAACAAAGACAGTTGCAGAAGCTTGAAAGCTTGGAACAATGACGGATTTAAGCAAAAGAGCTAGAAAGAGAAAAAGCTAGAGGATTGAATGAAAAAAGAGAAAAATAGTCAGGAAGACGACAAAGTTCAAGAATAAAGGCAAGTGCACAGGCACTAAGTAAGTATGTGAAGAACAAGAAAGTAATGACCCAGACACGATGCTAGTAACAGAAAGCGGATATGATAAGAACAGTGCCAGGCATTCAAACAATTCAAAATTTGAAGACAGACGAAAATAGAAGCAACAGATGGCAAGTAAACAGATTCAGAAGAGTTATGAAAGATTGAGCTTAATAGCAAGTAAAGAGTTTATGAACCTACCAAGTGAAATGAACGCCGATATGAAAATCGCCGGAGTCAAATAGATGACTGGAAATCAGGAACTCACTAGAGAGTGTGAGTGAAACAGTTACAAAGCTCTTGGAGTTTACGAATTAATAGAACCAGAACCTCGGCTAGGAGGTGCGATTTCAAGCAGCTTGGAAAGCATGAAACTTGATTCTTGACACCAGTGGACAGTAAAACTTTGAGGTCAGTGAGTTTGATCTCGGACAGAGGGGCATAGATGAACGAACAGTGTAGGTTCCATTACCTCAGAATGTCGAGGTAATAAAACCTAGGGGGCAGTTGTGGGGATATATTTTCTGAGTACCAACACTTGGCAAGGTGACGCCGACGTGTCAGCCGAGGTGCCACGTGTCCTGGTCGTGATGCCGAGGTGATCTCGGCAAGGCCGAGGTTATCTTCGAAGATATCGGAATCCGAGATAAGTGGATAAGGGACAAGAGTCCTAGAATGAAAAGGGAACTCAACCTGGATGAGGGACAAGAGTCCTAGAATGAGAGAAGACTTCAGTTTGTATTAAGATAAGACTCTTAGAGAGTTTATCCTAATCTTACTAGGAGTCCAAGATTAGCAGTAATCCTGAGACCATAGAAGTTAGGCTTCTATTGGGACTAGGTTTATGTTGGCTATAAAAGAGAGGCACCCCCATGGGTCTAAGGTATGTTTTTGATACTCAAGCTTGTGAGTTTAGCATTTGATTTATCTTTGAGAGATATACTGACTTGATCGTCGGAGTGTCCCCGGGTGGACGAACCACCGCCGGAATCTTCTCTTTCTGTTGCAGGTCTGCCAGGTGCCATCTATTCTGCCGGTGCTCTCCAGCTGGTTACTAAGCGGGTAGTGTGGTCAGAAAATCACTCACACAGTTCCAAAACCTAACTCACATTGGCATAGGGTAATCAATTTATTAGCTAATTTTTTTGAATAATGCTAGAAAACTCAAAATTCAATCAAATTTTAACCAAATGTTTCAAAGGGGTGTGGGATTCACATAATGTGGGTTCCATGTGAGACATTTGATAAAGTTTTTAGTAAGATTTTTGAGATCGCTGACATTTTAAAATTTTTTTTGAGTGATGCTACATCTCTAATTTTATTCTTCCAATGATAACATGTGAATTAATTTAAACCACCTTCTCGAGATTTACCATTTTGAGGATTTAAATGAGTTCTAGGTTGTTCATTAAAAATATATATAAAAAAAGTCTAGCTTTTGGTTCAAGTATTACAGAATTTATGCACAAAAATATATCTACGAATTAAAGTGTGGTTTACAAAATTACATTCAATATTGTATGATTGAATTCATGTAAACTGCTTTTTTTTTTCAAAGATTGATCATCATTTTCAATTATCTTTTAATAGATCAGATCAATAGTGTCAAGGAAAAAGAAAAAAGAAAAAATCTGAGAGTGATGAACTCCAACAAGTTCGATCAGTAAAAAGAAACCAAAATCTGACTTTACTGAGTCAAAAAATGGAGAGGAGAAGTGAGAGAGAGTTAGGCGGCTGGAGGCCAGTGGTCCATAGACATGGAGGGCAAGGCTTAGAGGGCAGGAAGGTTTAGTCTGTTGTCCATACCATCTTTGTGGATGACATCCTTGACTCGATGGATCCGAGGAGGTTGCATTCTTTATATTCTAATTTTGGTGTTGTGAGGGATGTCTTCATCCCCTTTAAGAGAAGAAAAGTGTCCCGTACCAGGTTTGATTTTGTTCGGTATGATTGTTCAGTGGCTGCAACCATGGCAGTTCAAAAAATAGATGGGATGTGGTGTGACGATAAAGCTCTAAAGGTCAAGATGGCCCAGTTTGGGAAGGAGGAGGTTGTGAAGCATAAGTCAGCACAATCAAATGTTGGTAGAGATAGTAGAGGTAAGTCCATTGCCATTCCAGTGTCACATAGAGGGAGTATGTCTTATGCTCAGGTTTTCCGGGAAGAAGGGTCCATGTCAAAACCAACCATAACTGTCAGGGCATTCGAAGAAGGCAATGGCTGGTTATATGAGAGCGTAATATTCAGGTTGAAGTCCTCTTGCTCTGTAGCTAATTTCAAGAAGGAGTTGTCGATTAGGGATATGGGGGATATTAAATTTATAATAGGTGGAGGTAGAGATGTGATACTTTCTTTCAACTCAGTAAAGATGATGCAACAGGAACTTAATAAAATGGAAGGTTGGATTAAAGATTGGAGTGACTCGGTAAAAGTTTGGAAACAGGGTATGTCCTTAGATCAAGAAAGGATTGTGTAGCTGAGTTGTTATGGGGTGCCTCCTAACTTATGGTGCTTCAACACTTTCAGCAGTATAGGGAGGCAGTGAGGGCAGGTTATTAGGTTAGATGATGACATTCTAAAGTTAAAAAACTTGCAATATGGTAAGGTAAGGATAGCTACATCCTGTATGGAATCTATTAATGCCTCCATTATTTTAGATTGCAAAGGTATTTTGTACCCAGTCAAGATTTGTGAGGAACAGATTGTCATCTCTAAGGTAGTTTTGCAAAAGTGCAGCTGTCGTTCTCACCAAAAGGAAAGAGCCAGCTAGAGTTCAAACAATGAGGCCGCTAATGAGGCTTCTGATTCAGATCTGGGCAAGTTGTTGGTGGTGCAAGGGGACGATAAGGCTGCCAAGGTAGGGGTTGGTGATCAGAGAGCTGCTGTGGCAGCAGAGGAGCCTAATGTGTCAGAGGATGATGGGAAGATAAATAGCGAGCAGAGTGTTTCTGTGGTGGAAGAGACAATTAGTAATTTGGAGGTGTCATGTGGAGTACGTAATGTCAGTCCTGAAGTCAATTTGGTGGGCTCTATGCAAGGTGTGAGTGGAGGTCATAGAAATGTGAATAATGTATTATGCACGCCAGGCTTCATTAGAAGTGTGAGTGGATCTTTTTGTAATGGGGCTGGTTTAAATCTTGAGGTGGTGTTGGACAAAGCCCAAGCCCAAGCCCAAGATGGGGGGAATATTTTTAATCAAGCCCAAGGCCTAGGTGGCATTAGAGGCTCAGAAAGTCCAACTAATGTTGAGAATAATTTTCAACCTATTTGTGGGGTTTTGGCCCAGTACCAATTACAAATAGAAACAGATAGTGGAGTGGGTTTGGGCAAGTCTGGGGAGTGTTCTGGATCTTCAATTTAGATTGCAAAAAGCTTAAAGGACACAAAAGAGTAAAGGTATGAGAAGGAAAGTCTGGAATAAGAAAAGGGGTCTGGAGCTTCATAATCGAATTGGTCTATCAGCACAATTCAAGAAAGGAGCAATCCTTAGGTCTGTAGCGGCTTCTATTTCACTATCTATGGCAGTCGTGGTAGATTGTTACTCAATGAGGCTGAAGCAACCTTACAGACAGATGGGGCAAGTACTTGGGCTAAACTGTGAAGGCAAAGAGGAAGAGGTTGTGAGCAAGCTTATTGAATTACAGTCCATGGATTTGGAAAAGGTGCACAAAAAGAGGAATAGAGTAGTCAATTAATTGACTAGCTCTAGAAGGCTCAGGAGTGCTATTTTTGTTAAATGAAGCTTTTATCATGGAATGTTAGGGGGTTAGGTTGGCCTGAAAAATGTAGGAAAGTCAAACGGGTGCTTAAGGAGAGGAACATAGATATGATACTCTTGAAAGAGACCAAAAAAGAGGTAGTCAATTCAGAGCTGGTGCAAACCATTTGGGCTGGGGAAAAAATGGAGTTTATGTCAGTTGATTCAGTAGGGACTGCTGGTGGGCTTCTCTGTATCTGGAATCCTGAGTTTTTTCAGCTTAAGGACTGCTGTTGCAATCGCAATTTTATTCTCCTCGTAGGTTCGATCTTTTTTTCTTTTAATTGTGTAATAGTTAATGTTTATGGGTCAAATGATCCTGTAGGAAAAAAAGGGGTATGGAATATCCTTGTGAAACTTAAATCACAATTCTTGGACCCATGGTGCTTGGGGGGTGATTTTAATGAAATTAAAAGCATTTCTGAAAGAAAAGGTTGTTCTAGGAGGGATAAGGGGATGAGGGAGATCAATGAAATGATAAAGCAATTAGAGGTCTCTGATCTACCTTTGTGTGGAAGGAAGTTTACTTGGTGCCATTCATAAGAGGGTGATAGATGGAGCAAGCTTGACAGATTTCTATTAAATCCAGAATGGTTGCAGGCTTTCAACTTTAAGCTTTGGGGTTTACCTAGACTGGTCTCTAATCATTGCCTTATTGTTCTGATGAAGGATGAGAGGGATTGGGGTTCTAGACCATTCAAGTTTATAAGTGCCTGGTCCTTGCATCCAAAATTCTTGTCATTTGTGGAACAAACTTGGGCTGCTCTAAATGTGATGGGTTGGGCTGGATTCAAATGTTTAGTCAAACTCAAAGCTTTAAAATCCACTTTGAAGAGGTGGAATATGGAGGTGTTTGGAAATGTGGAGAGCAAGCTCAAAGCTACAGAGGAGGAAGCTCATGCCCTTGATCTAGTTGCTGAAGAAAGGGTGCTATCTGCAGATGAATTAGCCAGGAAGAGAAAACTGAAAGGTGATGCTTGGCAGCTAAGTAAAATGCTGGAGAGGATGTGGTTTAAAAAATCTAGACTTAAATGGGAATTATTGGGTGATCGAAATACCGCTTTTTCCCATGCTATGGCCAGGTGTAGAAGTAATAGGAATGCCTTATGCACCATTTTGGTGAGTGGGATCACTATAGAAGAGCCTCCAGCTATTACAGCTGAGGTGTTGAATCACTTCAGCAATATGTTTGAGGAGTCTTAGCTGGTTAGGCCTACCTTAAATGGCCTCTTTAAGTCAATTATGGAAGGCCATGATTCAGGATTTTTGGAAGCTGAATTTTCAGAGGTGGAAATCTTAAGTTCGATTAAATCTTGGGGGGAGGGGGGGGGGGAACAAGGCCCCCGGGCCTGATGGTTTTAAAATGGGTTTTTTTTTTCCAGCAATGTTGGCATATAGTGAAGGAGGATGTCTTGCAATTTATGAGGGACTTTTATCAAAATGCCAAGTTGGTTAGAGGGTTAAACAGCTCCTTCATAACTTTAATTCCAAAAAATGAGAAACCATCCAGCCTAAATGAATATAGGCCTATCAGCTTAGTGGGCTCCATGTACAAGATATTGGCTAAAGTACTATCAAATAGGTTGAAACAGGTGCTGCCTAGGATCATAAGTGAAACTCAATCAGCATTCATGAGGGGCATAAATATTTTAGATGGTGTATTTATTGCTAACGAGATAGTAGATGGGTGGAAGAAGGCTAGAGGGTGTGGAATTGTGCTTAAACTGGATTTTCATAAAACTTATGACTCTGTCAATTGGGAATTTTTGTTTTCTATGTTATCAAATTTTGGTTTTGGTTCTAAGTGGGTGATTTGGATGAAAGAATGGGTTGCTTCTGTAAGAACTTTAGTGTTGGTTAATGGGTCACCAACCCTTGAATTTTGTCCACAGAGGGGTCTTCGACAGGGAGACCCACTGTCACCTTTTCTATTCATTATTGTGGCTGAAGCACTTAATATCTTACTGGTTAGAGCTAAAAACTTAGGTCTGGTTAGAGGGGCATCTGTAGGGCCCAATGGTTTTCAGATCACTCATTTACAATTTGCGAACGATACCATTTTGTTTTGTAAAGCTGACTGGGGGGAAATAGCTAATATAAAACGAATCCTCAGGTGCTTTGAAGTCTTGTCAGGACTCAGAATTAACTTCAACAAAAGTGTGGTCTGTGGGGTGGGGATTCCTGATGAGCTGGGTCAGGATTTTGCAACAAGGTTGAATTATAAATATCAGTTATTGCCTATCAAATACTTGGGGCTGCCATTAGGGGCCAGTCCAAGAAGTAGTAGAACTTGTCTGCCAGTGATTGATAAGTGTAAGAAAAGACTTGCTTCTTGGAAGAGAAGATGTCTATCCTTTGTAGGCCGGCTGACCTTGATTAAGTCTGCCATTACTAGCTTACCTATTTTTTATCTCTTAATTTTCAAGATGCCTGAGATGGTAGCAAAAAAGATGGAAAGTATTCAATCGGCTTTTCTTTAGGGTGGCTCAAATCTGAGGAGAAAAGTGCATTTGGTGAAATGAGAGGATGTTTTTAAAAGTAAAAACATAGGAGGGCTGGGTGTTAAGAGAATTAGAATTATGAATGTATGCTTTTTACTGAAGTGGTGGTAGGGGTTTGGTGCTGAAGAGAACTCCCTTTGGAAGGATGTTATATGTGAAAAGTACAGGGAGCCAAGTTGGGCATGGTTTCCTTCAACTAAGAGGGCTAGCAGGTTGTCCAAGACTTGGGTTGACATAATTCACACTGTGGCTTCTAGGGCAGATCTTCTGCAATTTTGTAGGAGTAATGTTGTGGTCAAGATTGAGGATAGTAGAAGAATTAAATTTTGGTCTGACTGTTGGTCAGAGGGTGTATGTCTTAGAGATGAGTTTTCTGGACTCTACTCTATATCAGTTGATAAAGTAGGGTCTTTATTCACGTTTCACAACAATAGAGACGCAAATGGGAATTGGGTGTTTAATTTTAGGAGGCCCCTCTTTGCTTGGGAGGAAGAGGAGTTGAGTAGAATGCTAGTGCATCTCAGTAGTACCCCTTTGCTCAGAGCTAATGTTGCTGATTGTTTGACTTGGAATGAAGATCCATTTGGTTTCTTCAGTGTCTTATTTGCCTACCAGTGGTTTAAACTGGGTTTTGGTTCTACTTGTTTAATTTCTAGATCTATGTGGAAGGCTCCTGCACCACCAAGAGCACAATTCTTTGGTTGGTTGGTTGGTTTGGAGGGGTAGAATCAAGTCTGCTAGTTACTTGCGTAGGATTGGTATCCTAAATGCCAATGTTGATGTCTGCTGTGTGTTCTGCAAAGAAGTGGAGGAAACTATTAACCATGTGTTACTTCACTGCCCTTTTGTGTGGCTGATCTGGCCTTACTTTGTCAGATGGTGGGGGCTGCAATAGGCTTCACCAGGTTTAGTACAGAGTATCCTGCAGTGGTGGTCTGGATGTAGACTGAGACAACTAGAAAAGAAGCTGTGGAGTGTAATCCCATATGTTATTTTCTGGTCTATATGGAAACAGAGGAATGATTATGTGTTTAATGGGGTGGACCCTAATTTTGTAGTTATGTGTGAAACTATTAAGGTATGAATTGCCTTGTGGGTTAAGTTCTCTGTTTCGGCTTTGAATTACTTTGTCCATGACCTGGTGCATAATCTGCACCAGGTTAGAAGATGCTTGGCTTAGGAGTTTCAGTAGCATCTTTCACTGGTGGCTTATAGAAATGGAAGGCAATATAGAAATGGAATTTTGGTGGCTTTATACAGCACAACAGGTTATCAGCACATTAGGTTTTGGTGTATAAAGCTGTGGAGTTGTCATTGATTGACTGCTTAGTGATTACCTGCACATCAACAAATCAGATTTTGGTTTTCTGCTGTGAAGTTCTGTGGCTACTTAGTCTTGGTGATTAATTTGTGGTTTGATCAGTATTATCTTGGTGATTATGGTGATTAATTTGTTGGTTACTGGTGGCTATGAAGTTGGGATTTGAATGGAGATCAATTGGTATATTGATAAGAAATTGTAAATATACAATTGTAGCCAGTGATTGTTGTTTTGAATATTTGGTTTATTTGAATGGAAATCATGGCAGCATTTGCAATGGTTTTCTGTTGGGTGTTTTTGGTGGGCTGTAACTGATAGGTGTTTTTTGGTGGACTGCAACTGATGTTGAGGACTGCAACTGGTTTTTTTGGTGGTCTGTTGCTATGTAGCTTTTTGCTGGACTGCAACTGATCTGGTGTAGAGCTATGTTGAGGTATTGATGCTGGTTTGCTGTGCTGGTCTGGCTGCTGTTGTGTTGGTCTGGTTACTGCCGTAATGCTGGTTTGCTATGCTCTGGTTGCTGCTGAGTTAGGAGTTGATGCTGGATGCTTGAATGAGCTATATGCTAGTCTGCTGGCTTGCTGGTCGAATGCGATGAAAGTTAATGTGTTTGGTGGTTGATTGGGCTTTGTGGTGAATGTTTGTGTGCTGTTATGCTGGTTGGAGTTGTCTTTGTGGTGATGTCTTTCAGTTTGATTTTCTGTTAGTCTCTGTTGCTTCTATTTGTTTGTTTGTTTGTTTGTTTTTTTTTTCTTTTCTTTTATTTAACAAGCGCGTGAATCTGATAGAAAACAAACATTTCGAGCCATTCAGGGTAGCTCATTTCGAGCTACTCAGCAGTTCCGATTACCTAAATGACAAGGAATTGATGGTATTTGAAAGAAGAAGAAAACAAATTGATTACATATTTCACTACATTTATGGGACACTTACGTGCAAAGTACGCAGAAGAGAGTAGTTAATTGGAACTAGGTTTGAGATTGTTATTTTTGTTGTAATCAATTTTTATTTTTTTTTGAATTAGCAAAAAATTTATTGATAATAATCATGAATGGAACAAGATACATGTATCAACAAAAGAGGAGGGTGTAAAAGACATCACAGTTAATTTAGAGATTCCAACTAAGTTGGCATTACGGAATTAACCAAATCATTTGCTAACACACTGAGGAGCCATCTAAAAAGAGGACACACACAAACACACACACACAAAAAAAAAAAAAGCAATTTCCCATCAGTAGTTGTTTGGGAACATATAAATAACCCACATATTCGTTCAATTTTTTTTTGTATTTAGTGATTTTTTTTAAATATGTCAAAATTATTTAGTGTTTGTTTGATTTAATTTTTTAAAAATTATTTTTAGATAAGTTCTCGTATATTTTTATTGCATTTGTTATGATATTTTAATCAAATTTTTGTACTTTTTACATGCAATTAATCAAGATGAATATAAAAAGTTAAAAAAAAAATTGGCTAAAAATATTTCTTAAAAAAAGTATTAAAAACAAACAAAAATTTGTGTCCATTTTTATTCGGATTTTCGTTTATTTTTAGTGATTTTTTTATTTCATATTTTAGTTAATTTTTTTTTTTACTTTTTAGATGAATCTAATCTTGATCTATTAACACTAAGTGAAAAGATTAGCACTTAGTAGCTGTAAAATCTATTAACACTAAGTGAAAAGATTAGCACTTAGTAGCTGTAAAATCTATTAACACTAAGTGAAAAGATTAGCACTTAGTAGCTGTAAAATCTATTAACACTAAGTGAAAAGATTAGCACTTAGTAGCTGTAAAATCTATTAACACTAAGTGAAAAGATTAGCACTTAGTAGCTGTAAAATCTATTAACACTAAGTGAAAAGATTAGCACTTAGTAGCTGTAAAATCTATTAACACTAAGTGAAAAGATTAGCACTTAGTAGCTGTAAAATCTATTAACACTAAGTGAAAAGATTAGCACTTAGTAGCTGTAAAATCTATTAACACTAAGTGAAAAGATTAGCACTTAGTAGCTGTAAAATCTATTAACACTAAGTGAAAAGATTAGCACTTAGTAGCTGTAAAATCTATTAACACTAAGTGAAAAGATTAGCACTTAGTAGCTGTAAAATCTATTAACACTAAGTGAAAAGATTAGCACTTAGTAGCTGTAAAATCTATTAACACTAAGTGAAAAGATTAGCACTTAGTAGCTGTAAAATCTATTAACACTAAGTGAAAAGATTAGCACTTAGTAGCTGTAAAATCTATTAACACTAAGTGAAAAGATTAGCACTTAGTAGCTGTAAAATCTATTAACACTAAGTGAAAAGATTAGCACTTAGTAGCTGTAAAATCTATTAACACTAAGTGAAAAGATTAGCACTTAGTAGCTG